CTATTTTACACTTTACTTAGTAGCAGCGAAACAAACTTAATAACTTTTATAAGTTTATTTGATATTTGTTTTTCGGACACTCCTTTTAGGATGATATCAGGCCTCTGATGAGACGACAGTAAGTTTAAGGACTTACAACCCTAAAATCAGGGGTTTGATTCATCCGCAATGGACACAGCAGATATTTCAATGTGGAAAAAACTGGCTTTTTCATCTCAGCTGGCTCACGAACTGATTTTTGACTTGCTGAAGTCAAGAAAACTGGAAAACAGATAATAGGATAAAACAAGCTGTTTTAGTTTTCTGTTAAATAAAACAAGCACTTGAAATTCGAAACGTCAAAATCACGGTGTAAGGAAACTGATCACTTGAAATACTTTCCTGTCTGTTTTTGTTTGAACGATCTAATCATGAAGATTAAAAGATCGCTTCGAAAATTTATTTAATTAATTTCAGTTGCTTCATTTTGTATTGCAGTTTGTCATATCCTGTAAATTTAAATGTATTTTTTATTTGGAATAAGTACAGCGAATATTAAAAATGAACTAAATGCCAAATTGTGTTTGTACAACAGACCGTTGAGAACAGGAATTTTGTGTGTTAGGAGTTATGCCCAAAGCTACATAATAGACTATCTGTGTTGTACTCACCACGGGTATCGAAACTAGTTTTTAATGTTATAAGCCATCAGAAGAAGATTACACGAAAAATCAAACGTTGTCTTCATTAAGTGTCTGAAGTGATGTACGTATGGTAAATTACTAGGATACCTGGTCTTTAGGACAAACTTTCAATAGTATAGATTTTAAATATTTCGCGTTGGTACTAAGAAATTTAATATTTGTTTACACTTAAATAAATCCTCCTCCCCTAAATATTAAATATAAGAATTCACTGTATCCTGTAATCAATTCATTTATATATTCGTTAAATGTATAGTTTAATAAAGTAAACATCGTTTAGCTTACTGGGCTAGATTCATAATAACTGTTAAGCCTACTAAAAGTAATACATTTATTTATAATACGTCATATTAACGCCCTGGTTTCATTACTGACAAAATTAATTATGACTTGTAAAGCTAAAAAAAAAATCTTGTCTCATTTTACTACAAATTTCCCATCGGACAAAATCAGATGACCATGGCGCCATCTACATATGATATTTGCAAATAAAGTTTCCTTTATTTGTTGTTGAGTTTACTGTCGCTGATGACATACCACAATCATAACTTGAATTTCGTCATAAAGTGCAATAAAAATTGAAACTTTGTCCAGCTTGCGTTATATAAGCCAAAAGGTAAGTTCATGGTTTGACTTTTCATGATCTTTTTTGTAATCCAACAAATTATATTTGATTTGTCAGTCTGAAACCGAGGTTGAACAGCAAAGTGAATTAACATAATAATTAAAAATTATTCTCCATGATTAAATAAAGTTGTTTAAACATTTGTTTAACAACAAGTAAAAGCTTTGAATGGTCTATTCTTTCATTTGTGGTATGTGACACAGTGGTTATGTCTGCGGACTTACAACACTAGAAACCGGTTTTCGATACCCGTGATGGGCAGAGCACAGATAGCCCATTGTGTAGCTTTGTGCTTAACTACAAAACAAATAACTTACACCAGCGTATTCTGTGTAAACTCTTGGTAACTGTTTAGTAAAATTACAAATATTTCTAATTTTGAAGAATTGAGAGACTGGCATAATTTTATCAAAATAAAATCACATTTTTTAATTTCCTTGTTTAAACACATCAATTACAAACCAAACTTAACAGCCCAGTT